TAAAGCTCCACGCTTCTGTGTAGCCTGGGACACATCTCCTCCCACTGAGCCTTGTGGCCTCCAGTGTCCCAGGCATGGCTCCTGCTCTTAAGGGCGTGATAACGTCCTGGCTGTCTGCTGGCCTCCCTGGGGCCCTGATGCCTGTGCAGAGGGTCCAGGCTCCTGGTCCTGAGGTTCGGCCAGGGCTGAGTATTCTGGATCCAGTGAGGTGCTGGGTGGGAGGTGTTGATAAGTGAGATCTGCAGCAATAAGGCTGGAGTGTGCTGGGGACTCAGGTGGGGGCAGAAGGTGGCTGGGATTCTCGGTGCCCCCGGCCTTTTAGCAAAGACCAGCCTGCAAGCCCACAGGCCTCCCGTCCACGGCAGCGTGAGGCAGCCGGTGTGTCTGGCAGGGTACCCTCTGCAGCAGGACCACTGTGTGAATGTGCATCTTCCCCTGGAGCAAGCCCCTTCTTGTTGGCGGGGACTGGGGCCCAGGGCAGCCCCCAGGCCAGGGCTTCTGTCTCTGTCCCACACTAGAGCCATTGTTTACACAGAACCTGCCTTCCCTCTGCGGCCCTGTGCCCTGTCCTTGGCCTCACGCATGCCCCCAGAAATCACTGTGGTGCAGCACTCGGGCACCACTCAGGGTCTGTGGGTATGCTGGGTTTTATTTCTCTCCTGCTTGAGACAGCCCTGCCTTTTCCCATCATGGGTAGACCTGGAGCCCAGCGAGGGCTACATGTTTTCATCTACTCAGACTCTACCTCTTTTGTAACTTCCATCAGATGCCACCTCCTGAGTGAACCTCTCTCCTTCCCAATCAGAAGTGTCCCTTCAGTATTTCCCTGGCACTTTGCTAACTCCACATTGCATGTATCTATATTTATTACTGATCTCCTCTAGCTGATTATAAGCTCCTAAGAGTCAGGAGCTTGTGTTAACCATCTTGAACCCCCACAGTAACTTTGTAGAATCTTGTACCTACCAGATGCTGAAAGGTGTGTAAAGAATTGAATGGAGCTGAGAACCAGCAAAACTAGATGTTTCTACTGGCCATTTTGGCAGCTCTCTGATGGTACTTAGCAGTGCCCCTTAGTAAGCACACTCTCTCTGCACATAAAACAATAGACCATGAACCTAAAGATGTTTTTTTCTACCTTTCTTGTATTATGAGTCCCACTTTGATTCTGGAGCAACTCTACGTGTATGTGTGTACCATCAAAAATATCTATGCCCCACCAGCCAGGAGGTGTATAGGCAGAGATGGCACTGGTAAAGTTAATGTGAAATCAGTGGAAATTTTCTGTATTAGCATTTTGCAGGTTTGGGACTCTCCTACTTAGGTAACTATGGATAAGTACTTCCCATGGTCTCCAGGGCCCCTGTGACCCTCTTCCACCCTTCACTTATGTTTGTCATCCTAAGCCACCAAACAAGCAGTATGTGGTTCAGAGCACGTCTGCCCCGTCGAGCCTCCAAACCTTGCACGGCACCTCTGCCAGGCAAAAAAAGTTCATCGTTGCACCCTGTGGTCTATTTGAACTGCATGCTCACCTGTGCCATTCAGTTTTCACACCTGTGTGCCACTTAACAGGGTGGTAGGGTTCTCCAGAGAAATGGAACCCACAGGATCTACCTAGAGCGAGAGATGGTGAGTGAGATGTGTTGACACTGTACCCTTTGGTCCAAAGCCTGGAAACTCAGGAGGGTGTGTGTGGCAGCCTGGAAGCAGAATTGCTTCTTTGGGAAACCTCAGTCCTTGCTCATAAGGCCTTGAGCTGATTGGGTGAGGCCCACCCACACTGTGGAGCGTCATCTGCTTTGTTGAGGTGTGCAGAATTAAAAGTTAATCATATCTGAGAGATGCCTTAACAGTGATATCCAGCCTGGCGTTGGACCAAATGGGTGGGCGCTGTGGCCTGGCCAAGAGGATGTGGACCTGACCACCAATCACTCCCCAGTGTTCCCTTGCCTCTGACCACCCACCCTGACATTGAGCACCTTGCCCAGCTGCTGTGGGCAGTCGTATGGCCACCCTCTGTGTACTCCTTTGCACCGGGGCCCCCTGTACTCTGCTGTTGGACAGTCATGTTTGCACGCTTCCCTAAGTGTTTTCCAGCCGCGTTTTGGCACGCTGACTAAACCATTGTGCATTCACTGGGTTATTGAACAGTTGCCCCTTGCACCTTTGTTCCATACCATCAGCTTCCACCATGGGAATGCCCACTCTGCCATTTCTTTGCTCTTTGCACAGCCATTATTTGCCATTTCGGTCACCTTTTACACACTTGTGCACAATCCACAGTCTATGCTTGTGTGTTTTCTTCTCCAGCTTTCACCCCAGCACATCCTTCTGCAGTGCTTACCACTTGCTCCTCCTGTGCTGTCAAACATTTGATCCTAGCACACCCACTTGGTGCTATCAGACCCTGTCTTGTTGCACACTTCCCATTCGGGACCCCTGGACTGTCCCAGGCCAGGTCATCACTTACCGTCATTCTCTTTACAGCTCCCTCCATAGCCACGGTGTGCCATCAGATACTCGCTCTGCAAACCCATGACCACTGCATGTGTGATCGTTCATCTGGCGTCCCTTGCATGGTAATTCTGGATCTTCCAAACCAAGAAGTGCCACATGTGACAATTCTGGACCATCCAAACCAAGAGATGCCACATGTGAGCAGCTTCTTGCTCCATGTTGTTCTTTTTTTAAAGTTTATTTATTTTGAGAGTGTGAAAGAGAGGGAGAGAGAATCCCAAGCAGCCTCCACACTGTCAGCACAGAGCCCAACATGGGGTTCAGTCTAATGAACCTTGAGATTATGACCTGAGCCAAAAACAATCAGATGCTTAACCAACTGAGCCACCCGGGTGGCTCATGTTGGACGATCTGCACACTCCTTGGGCCTGGCAGACGTGAGCCCTGCTGCGTGTGTAGGTGATACTTGCAGCCACTGGGGAGGAGGGGATAACTCAGAATTGCCCCCTAATTCACCTAGCTCTTGCTTCTGTAGGCTGTCTGTTGGGATGCTACTGGAAGTCTGTGACGGGACACACAGGAAGTTATGTAGGGCCTTGGAGGCTTTCTGGCATGTCTGGTGTAGCCCTTCAGCCTCTGGTTTTGGGGAAGGATATGGGAGGGCACTCCAGTAAGCTCAGGGCAGTGTGTGTTTCCCACGGATTGGAGGCATTCTGGTATTGGTAAGGGAGCGACTGTGGTGCCCATGGATGGTCATTTCTGGTGACACCCCTCACCTGTCAGGCTACATCTTTCAGCCTCCTCATGGGAAATGTTGGCACTCCTGTCACATAACCAAGGCACAGGCCTTGACCAGAGTGACCATAGTGTCCCCGTCTAGGGCATTTCTGGAGTAAGCTATTGTGCAAGGCATTGTGGGGATGCTTATGGGATGAGGCCCAGCTGTAGCTCTAAATTCTGCATCACAAACCTTTCCCCTGGACAAGAAGCCAGCAGGAAAAGGAATTCTGAGGTCAGAGACCACCTCCCAGGAGGTGTTATGTGTAGGTAAAGAGTGGACCATGGGAGGTCCTTGGGGAGGCTTGCAGAGGCTAAGTCCTGCCTGCTCTCAGTACATTTACTAATAACCTTTCTCTGGCCTCATCCTTTCCATATGTGTTCTCCCTTGCTTCTGGCTTTTGTTTTGTTTTTACGATTTTTCCCACTATGGTCTGATGGAGTTCCAGAGTATGACCTTGAAAACTGTTAATTTCTCAATTCTTGTCAGAAGAAATCTCAGCAAGAGAAGCAGAAGTTTCCCTCTTCCTCCAAATTGTAATAATACAGCTACTGTCCTGGGAGAGGCAACAGTCCTGGCAAGGGCTGTATAAAGACTCCCAAATTTGAGTGGTTGTTCCCATACCTGAGAACGTACCTCTGACCGCTAAATGCCGGGAATTCTGAGGGGCTGCCTCTGCTCCTGTCCAGGGTCACAATACTGATGTGACCATGTCCTCCGAGGGAAGAGTGTCTGGGCCTGTCTCGCAGTGGCTGGAGAGTTGTGGCTGGCCCTTCTCACATCCCACACCTAAAATAAACTGATAACCCTGTAAGACTTCTTATTGAATGAGGAGTGAGTCTGTTTCATTTAAATGCAGGAAATGAAAGGACGAAATCACAACTCCCAGCTGTCGTAGAAAGAGGATTTTAATATGGTATTCACCTGTAGCTTCTACATTTATGTTCAATATTGTCCAAATCAGTAAGCCCTTTTTTGTTGTTTTTTTACCTGTTGTGCAAAAATTCAGTTACCCTCTCACCTCTGAAATGGTCCCCTCCCACTGACCCCATCTCCTGTGGTCTCAGAGCCCTTCAGTGGCACTCATCTGCCTTTCCTCACCTGGTGAAGAGCAAAGTATGTGAAGGGGCCTTTCCTCCTGGGGGAGGATGGGGTGGAGATGGGGCTTGGCAGGACTCTCACTCTCCGTTGGCCTTGATGGTGGAATCTGAGAGTCCATCTATCCGACAAAGGCTGGAGCACTGGCAAGCAGAGCCATGCCTCTTGGCAGGGTCCTGGGGAGATGTAGACAAGAAGAGATAACTGCTGTCATCAGACCCAGTAGGTGCTTCACTCACCACGAGTGAATGCTTCATGGTGCCTGTGGGCACAGGTGGCAGTGACCTGTACTGTGCTCATTGGCAGTGCTCCTTAGGGTCAGCTGGTCCTCAGGTTCCTGGAAAGCAGAAGGTACTGAAGGCAGCAGGTGGTCCACAGAAGGCCAGGTCGACCTATCAACTGTCAGGCATCATGCCCAGCCATGGGAGAGATTCAGGGATGAGACCAGAGTCTGGTGGTGGCCTGGGCTGACATGTTGGGAGGGAAGTGGTGCTGGCTGCCCGGGTCAGCCACAACCTAGAGAAGTTGGTCAGTCAGAAGATGCCCTTCATGAACTAGAAACAAAGAAAACTAAACTGAAAGAATAAATGTTAGAGGAGAGATTAATGTAATTAAGAACAGAGCAGTAGAGAAAATCAGCAAAACTTTTTTTTCTGGGGAAAAAATGTAAAAATTGTCAAGCCTTGCCTAGGTTGACTAAGAGAAATCTAGACAGGGATTAGAAACAGAGTTTGAAAAACACTGCCAACCCTACAGAAATAAAAGAGTTTATTAAAAGAGACTGCGAACAATTGAACAGCAACAAATTGGATAATCTTGATGAAATGTAAAAATTCCTAGAAGCACAGGAACTACAAAACATTCTACTGGTGAATCCTACCAAACATTTAAAGAAGAATTAATACCAGTTCTTCCCATCTGACAAATCCAAGAGGAGGGAATATTTCTGATTTCTACAAGGCTAAATTACCCTAATACCAAACAAAGCTAAAGACCCCACAGGAAAACTATAGATCAATATCCTCTATGATACAGGTGCAAAAATGCCCCAATAAATCATAGCAAACAGAATCCAGCAGTAAATTAAAAGATTATACATTATGGCCAACGGATTTACCCCAGGGATTGAAAGGTTGTTCCATATATGAAAATCTATTATATTAGAATGGAGGAGAAAAAAATTACACAATCATCTCCACTGCTGCAGAAGGAGTATTTGACAAAATCCAACATGCTTTCACAATAGGAGAACTCAGTAAAGGAGAAATAATGGGAAATGTCCTCAACGTGATAAGGGCATGTATGAAAAATCCACAAGTACCATCATGCACAGCTTACTGACAGCTTTCTCCCTAAGGTCAGGAACAGAGACACCCACTCCCACCACCCCTACTCAACATTTCACCGAAGGTCTGGATGGAGCAATTAGGCAAAAAAACTAAAACATCCAAATTGGAAAATAGGAGGTAAGACTGTCCATTAGCAGATGACAAGATCTTGTATGTAGAAAATCCTAAAGAACACACACACACACCCACACCTGTTAGAGCCAATAAGTTCAGTCAGGCTGCAAGATACAAGGTAAATGGAATAGAATTGAGACCCAAGAATTAAACCCATACATGTGTGGTCAGTGGATTTTTCAACAAAGGCACCAAGACCATCCAATGAAGGAAAACAAACTTCAAACAGTAGTATTGGGGAAAGTGGATATCCATATGCAAAAGAGTAAAGCTGAAGCCTTACCTCACACCATATATAAAGATTAACTCAGAATAGATCCAACACCTAAATTTAAGAGCTAAAATTCTAAAACTGTTAGACAAAAAACACGGGCCAACCTTCATGTCATTTGATTTACACTGGTTTCTTGAATATGACACCAAAAGCACAGGCAATAAAATGTAAAACAAATTGGACAGCATCAAAACTTAAAACTTGTGTGTGTCAGTGCTGCCTGGGTGGCTCAGTCGGTTAAGTGTCCAACATCAGCCCAGGTGACGATCTCATGGTTTGTGAGTTTGAGCCCCACATCAAGCTCTGTGGTGACTGCTCAGAGTCTGGAGCCTGCTTCAGATTCTATGTCTCCCTCTCTCTTTGCCCCTCCCTAGCTCACACTCGCACTCTCTCTGTCAAAAATAAAAAAAAAATTTGTGTGTCAAAGGACACAAGAGGTAAGGAAACAACCCACATGATGGTAGAAAATACTTGCAAATAATAAATATGATAAGAGTCTTTTATCGATAAAACACAGACATTGCAGTGATACCATTTCACACCTGCAAAGGTGACTATAATTTAAAAAACAAGGAACAACAAGTGTTGGTGAGGTTGGAGGCCTCATACATCCCTGGAGTCGGGGTGGGAGATGTACAATGGTGCAGCCTTTGTGCAAAACACTGGCAGTTTCTGAAGAAGTTAGACACAGACTTGCCATTTGACTCAGCAATTCTTCCCACACAGTTGAAGACAGACACTCAAACACATGTCTGTACACGAACATTCATAGTAACGTTATTTGCAATAGCCAAAAAGTGGAAACAACCCAAATGTTCATCAGCAACAGATAAGTAAATTTGTGGATATGGATATGGGATGAATAAAGGCCATTTCTTTACATGTACACTGAAATATTTGGCCACAATACGGATCATATACTGGGACATGACGCAGCATGGATGGGACTTCAAAAATACTATGCTTGGTGACAGAAGCCACACACAAAACCACAGATTGGTTCCACTTAAATGTGCAAAATAGGTAAAACTATAGAAACAGAAAAAAGATGATTGGTTTCCAGGGTCCAGGGGTAATGAAGAGGGACCACTTCATGAGGGGGGATAGGGTTTCTGTTTGAGGTGATGAAATGTTCTGAAACTAGACAGTGGTGGTGGTTTCAGAGCATTGCAAATGTACTTAATGCTGGTGAATTGTACAATTTAAAATACTTTAAAAGAAAATTTTTATTTTATATAAATGTTATAACAAAACACTTAATTGTAAAGTATAAAAAGAAAAGGTGACAAAAGAAAAAATAGGAAGGAAGAGAGCAAGCCAGGCTCTGGTTATGGAGTTGGCACTGGAGGTGAGCTGACTCTTGTTCTGGAGCCGGTGCAGGTGTGGATCTGCTCTCAGAGATGGAGCTAGAGCCTGTACTTCAGCTGGCCTGGAAGTGGGTGTTTGAGCTGCCTCTAGCTCTGGAGTTGGTAGTAGTGATGGTACTTGAGCTCTTTCTAACTCTGATGGAGCTAGAGCTGTTGCTGTACTGGTTCTAGCTGTGGAGCTGGTGCTATAGCTGCTCTTCCTCTAAACCTGGCACCGGCTCTGATGCCATAGCTCATGCCAGAGCTGGCTCTCGCCCTTATGCTGGTGCAGAATCTGGCACTGGTGTGGGCTCTAGCTCTGGAACTAGTTCTAGACTTGGTGGTGGAGCTAGCTCTTGCTCAGAACTTGGTGCTGTTTCTAACTCTGAGATTAGTTTTGGATCCAGAGCTCATGCTAGAGCTATTGCTGGAACTGGCATAGGAGTGGGTGACATAGTCTCTATCTCTGGGGTTGGTGCCAGACCTGATGATGGAGCTGACTGTAGCTCAGAGGTTGGTGAATACCCTCACTCTGGAACTAGCACTGGAGCCAGTGCCAGAGCTGGCTCAAACTTTGGAGCTGATGTAAGAGCTCGTGCTGTAGTTGACCCCATCTCTCTATCTGGTGCCAGAGATGGTGCTAGAGTTGGTTCTGAACCTGGCTTTGAATCTTTTCTTTTTCTTTCTCCCTTCCTTCCTTCCCTCCCTCCTTCCTTCCTTCCTTCCCTTCCTTTCCCTCCTTCCCTCCCCTCCCTTCCTCCTCCTCCTCCTCCTCCCTCCCTCCCTCCCTCCCTCCCTCCCTTCCTTCCTTCTTTCCTTACTTCATTCCTTCCTTCCTTCCAGAGCTGGCAACAGAGCTGACTTTACCACTGGAGCTGGTGCTAGAAATGGCTCTCACTGTAATAATTTTGCAGATGCTGGGGCTAGCTCTGGAGCTGTGGTGGAGTTGGAAATGGACCTTGTGCCAGAACTCGTGCTCAAGCTATCTCTGGAGTTGACTTCAACTCTGGAGATGGTAGACTGATGCTCACAGAGCAGTTGCTAAAGCTGGCAACACAGCTGTCATTAGCTCTGGATCTGGCTTCAGAGCTGACATGAACTGCAGGCAGAGGAATGTTCAACCAACATGATTACCTTTCCATGTGACTTTCCAAAAACAGAAAACACCCTATTGCCTTTAAGAGAAACCCAAGCCAACCCAAGAGCCATGTCCCAGGAAGGGTTCCCAGACTAGAGTTCACCAAAGGAGTGGGCTGAGGCCACTATCTGCTCCTGTGTTTGTGGCCCAGCCCCCTCTTCCATCATCACAGCAGCCACCCTAATTCTTCTGACCCTCTGGCTCTGCCTCAGTTGGCTTCCACTGGGTGAGGAACATCTGGGCAGAGCAGCAGGTCCAGACCAGGCACGTAAGTTGTGCTGGTCCACTAGCATTTTGGGGAGAAAGGTATGGAAACTGACAGAGATCCTCTGGGGACTGGTCCAGCCAGGCACCCAGGATTGGAGAGAAGGTGCTGGGGGAAGGCAGGCAGACAGCAGAGTCAGAGGACACCCAGGAAGACACTCCCATAACAGTACCCATACGCTTCAAACCCCAAAGGCCCACACTTGGAGGTGTAGCCCCTCCATCAAGGAGGGGACAGTCCCC